TAACTCGAATAGCTACTTCAGCAGAGATGCGATCAAGTACTGGTTGCTCATACGCCATGGCGGACCTACACCCTACTCGTGGGTACAATACTTATAAGACAAGAGCATTCGTACAGATATCAATGCCACTTATGTGACATAACACTGGTACTAATTCACTGCTAATATTAGTGTAGCGAGTGTATCGTAGGCACTGCTGCATTATCCTCACAATTGTAGCGCTGATGGTGCATTTCACATAATATTTGCAAATAATCTTGAATTTATCTGCCAACACGAAAATGTGACATGGCCTCACATTGGAGTGGATTGTTTGTTAAAAGCGGCTTCAATGCCTAACACAGCAATTATTTGCGCTCGATTGCACAATTCTCCAGCTGTGAAGAGTAAAAAATTTTGTAAAAGCAACGTAAAGCAGAAGCACGCAGAGCAACATTTCCCGAACAGCGTTACATACAGTGGTACATGCATAAGTTTTGAAATTTATTTCATTTTACGGTTCGCAATTAAAGTAAATACAATTTTTTTTTTTTGAAAACTCTAGTCCGCAAAATCTCGGCAAGCTTTACTGGCTAACCAGAATGGTGAGGCTGTGGTATGCAGCAAGAGCTGTCAAAAGTTAAAGTATTCAAAATGCTCTAAACTGCGCACAATACGTCGTTGTAGTGTATTATTGCTGACGTAGCTAGCGAAATAGCTTGTGCCTGTGCATTCTTGTTAGCCAGTTATAGAGGACCAGCCTACATTGTGTGTCTCGGTAGACCCAAAACCAATTTCAAGATACAATTCCAGTTAAGGTAATGGAAAAATATGTTAATATCAGGAACAAATTGCAATGCTTATGAATAGACGATAGTTTTGCAAGCCCATCTGGTGCGTTAAACACTGAATCGATTGTTTACAAATCTGTCAATATGCATCAAATAACAGTTCATGCGCAACAGGGCAATTCTGGCTAAGACAGTAAATAATTTTCCGAAAGACAAATGAAAGACAGATGGAAAAATAGTTGGAAAGACTTTTGTTATTCTAGCACAAAATTCTTAGAAAAAAAGCTCTCTCATTCACCAATCGTGGTGAGGGAAAGCACTTGTATATTAATTAGCTCGCGCCGGACAGTGGGGCAAAAAAGGCTCCTGTGGCCAAATATATTTTGAGAGTCCAAATATGAACCGATTTCAAGTTTCTTTTTTTTTAATAAAAGATAATTAAGTTTCGCGTTGATCTATCTGTCGGGATTTTTTAAAAAAGCTTTGGTTTTTTATTTATTTATGTTCAAAAATTAAAGACAAAATTTTACGTTTGAATGCTTCCACTTTTTTGGAAAATATTTGAAATTAATTTCAAATGTCTGCAATTATTTAAAAATTATTCATAGAAATTTTTCCATAGGATAGTTTTAATTCAAAAATGTATTTCATCTGTTATCTGTACTAATATATATTTTGAAAGCGGTTTTATTTTCTGTTCGCAAAACTCGAGAACGGAAAAAAGCGAAAGAACAGGCTTTCCAAATATATATTAGTATAGATAACGAATTAAATACATTTTTTAATTAAATGTATCCTATGGAAAAATATTTATGAGTATTTTTTAAAGAATTGCAGACATTTGAAATTAATTTCAAGTATTTTCCAAAAAAGTGGAAGCATTCAAACGTGATATTTTTTCTTTAATTTTTCATCATAAATAAATAAAAAACCAGAGCTTTTTAAAAAAATCGCTACGAATAGATCTACGCGAAGTTTAATTATCTTTTATTTAAAAAAAGAAACTTGAAATCGGTTCATATTTGGGCTTTCTAAAATCATTCGTCCACAGCAATCTTTTTTGTCCCACTGTGCGCCGCTCCAACAGTCGCAATGACCGAGTGAGCAGAGCATAGGCATAGAGTCATTAGGTTTTTTTTTTATTTTTAATTAATTAAGAAGAAAAGAAATTATTTGAACTTCATTTAATTTTTAAAACCATTTGTTTCTTAATTTTTGCTTTATTTTAATTTTTTTATTAATTTTAATTTCTTTAATTTATTACTTTTGATTGTTTTAAAAAGAGAAATACATATGTTTTTTTTATTTAATTTTACTAAAAAAAGTTAACAGGCGAACAGTATAACGCTAAGACCTCCTCGCTAGCAGATCTTTCAATTAGTCTTTCGAAAGACAGTAAAGAGTTCTGAAGATAGTTGCCAGAATAGACAACTGTCTCACGAAAGATGCTGGTGAAGGTGCTTAGTGAGATGCTGATAAGTATTACACAACATAGAAGAAGAGCTTGATCTGCATGCTCAATTCAAATTTTGTAGTTGTTGGATAATCACAACACTATTGAAGTAAATGAGCGATATGTATGTGCTACGTGTATGTATGTACGTTAGTGCATGTAATTTTTCAAGCATTCGAGAAGATTGTTCCTTTCTTCGCAAACTTTCCAATTAACCCAGAAGCATTTCTCATTCAAACAAGAACACATCGCACACTGTCTTCAAAAGAGTCACAACTCAAAATAATACGTTTGTCAGAAAATGCGAAAAACTATTTCTTAGCACATGATAATCATATGGGCGAGGGCGACTTTACCTTAGGTTTTTTAACAAATTATAACAAAACTTTGCTCCAGCTTTTGCTGAAAGGTAAATCAAAGCTCTGCGTACATTTTCAGTGCATAATCTCAAAAATGCCAAATTTTGAAGTGAGACTCTTTTGAAGACGGTGTGCAACATGTGCCATTACATGAAAGATACCAGAAGCACTGAATGCCAGCTGTGATTACAGCGAAAATTCCCGAATTAATTGAAATAGTTGAAGTTATTATCATACACTTACAGCCGAGTTATACCGAATGGAGACAATGAAGAGGGAACCAATTAAATCATCTCGTAAAATGTCAATCATTTCCATCAAGTTGACGCCAACGGCAGTTACTAAAAATCGCAATAAACGCGCATTTGATGATTTTTGCTAAGGGATTTTTCACCAAACAATAGACGACTACATAGAAAACAATTTAATTAATTCCACTCACATTTACTTCGCACTTCTCAATTAATGGTTGTCACATGTGGTGGAATAACAGATGGAATCCACCAATATGAAACCAGAAGTGAATTTAGGACCACGGCTAGTTCTCGTTTAATTTCTTTTTTCTTATACGCAACTGATATATCGCTAGCTTAGAGGGAATAGTTGCTAAGTCCACTTTTTATGAAAACTCATATATTAATACAGGAGGCTAGATAAATTAAAAATGCCTCATTTCTAAAAGCATTGTTTTATGTTTTCTCGCTTATATTTAATGAAAGGAAAATTGGATATGCCAAAAAAAGGCTCCGAAAATTCGATAAGGCAAAATGTGGTATTCAAAGTATTGCGAAATACTTGAAGAAAATGGCTATAGCTTTGTTCTATAATCAGGTATCATCCTTTTGTTAAACGAATTTTGGTCGACTGAAAACATATATTTAATAACATTCAAAAAGTAACTAGTTCATTGCCGGAGTGCAAGTACTTATGTATATATGTATGTATATAGTAACATCCCTGCAAAGATCGCGACTACTTCATACACGCATGCAAAGAGTACTCCCTAAGGGCCAAGGAGTACTCCAAAATTAACCAAAATACATTTAAAGAATATGGTCCAATTAACATTGCGATTTTTAAGGGCAGGACCGTATACTCCATCTCTGCATTAAACCACAGTAGCATAAAACTACTCCAAGAGATTATTCCATGGAGTACCTACCTACGATAAGGTGGTATTGACACAAAAGTTGGTTTGCTACTGCATTACAGAGGAGCATTTTGTAAGTACTCCAATATGATACAAATGAACCAAAGATTGTTGCAGGCATATTCCATTGGATGAAAACTCACACATACCAAGGCCATTAGAAAGTTGCTAGTATCGACCGCATAAAATACGAATAAGAGTGATGATTTGAAAATGTTAATGCGAATTTCTTATTATGCAAATCGTTTGAAGTGCCCCACTGAATATTTTATGTGCCTCATATTGCCATGCGTTGTGTTTTTTTGTTGAGATTTTCAACATAATTGAGATTTTATTCATACACATATAATAAAAGGAAAAATAATGAGATCGTGAATTGTTTGCCTGTTTTCGGTACTTTTAGTGTGCTTATTTAATGTTTATTAATTTTTTTATTAAAGTCTAGCTCATTATATACCTAACACCTTATAAATCCACATTTTAAACTTTGTGCAAAAACTAAAAAGAAATCAACAAACTTTCACCAAAACTTCAATTCATTTATAGTACAAGTAGTTATACAAGTACTTAAATTTGATTACAAGAAAAGCAATGTTATTTACTGTTACAGGAAGGTGACGTGCAATAATGTCAATGGAATTAATGTCACTGACATTATTACTGGCAGAATTGAACTCTGTTGCAAGTTCACATGAGAAAACCTTCTTGTGACGGGGTTGGAGGAAATTTTAAGCGACTAGCAGCAACCCACTTATATCATATATGTATATCTCAAAAACTACTCGACCTAACTCAACCAAATTTGGTACACGTTGCGCGTAAGCTTCTTAAGCGCCATATTGAAAATTTTTGTAATCTATGAAAACCGTTTTGTTAACGAAGCTTTAATTTTGGCTTTATTATTATTTCGTTGATCATCGATATATATAGCAATTAGAGATTCGGTGCTAAATGACGAAGTTATAAAGAAGACTCGATTTTGGCTGTTTTTAGGACTCGCTAAAGACGAAAATTTATGTCACCTCAAAATCGTCTCAAAGTAAGCTTTCAAACTAAGGGTGTTATTGCAAAGTTTTTTATATGGTATGGGGACCGACCCGGTCTAGTGTGCATCTCTAACCACATGTTTACGGCGCCCACAGACTAAAGCAGAGGTGTATTTAATTCAGTCTTCTCGTCCTATTAAGCCATTCAAGTGTTGTTTTATTTCTTTGTAACGTTTTATTTTCATCTATTTACCTTTCCATTTCTTTCCCAGGCACATGAAATTGGATGGCAAATCGCGAAAAAATCGTGTTCTCCACACAATCAATTTGTAACAATTATCAATGCTTGTCACATCGCAGCCTAACGACATATAAAATCAGCCATTGATTTCCCATTGCTACCGCCCACTCTGCGAGCAATTCTCTTGACGAGTTTCGAAGTGCTTCTCATTCAAATGCAAACAAAGCCGAATACGATACGATTACATGAACAGCCCCGAAATGCTGCACAACCAGAGTACGTCGCCAACGCTCAGTCCAGCGGCGCCAATAATGGTGGCACTTTCGACGTCCTTAGTTGTGCGCCCAACAATGGCAGTGCTGCCAGCGCTCTGTCCACCCGACTGGACCATCAGTAACACCTATGACTGTATTAATGGAACCGTGGATAATGGCATGGGAGTAGCAGGCACAAGCGCGAGTTTCACTGGCCTGCCGGGGCAAGAGGGTATGACGCATGGGGACGTCAATTTCACGTTTCCCCCTGACAATCTGTTGGATTTCGAAATCGACCCATTAGAGCGCGTTGTGTCAACCATTGTGCCCGTGTTTTTCGGCATCATCGGGCTTGCTGGTCTACTGGGCAATGCACTCGTAATTTTGGGTGAGTTGATGAAAAACGGGGAGAATTAAATATTTGCTTAAGGGGGTATTGAGTAAAAGTGTAGTTCTACATGTACAAACGTATATACATACATATGTACATATGTTTTAACCCTTTCAGGATTATTACTAAATTGGTAATTTGAATTTAAAGATATAATGTAAGAAAAAAAACAAATTCATATTTTACGCTGTCTTTCATATTGTTCCTTTGGTAAGTTTTTTTGTTTTAAATTTTGGTAAAATAAATATATTTTTACCCAAAAAAAATCAATTACTCCGAAAATCCCTAAAAAACTATTTCTTCTCAAAATAGAATTTTTTCCTAACAAACATATATAGATATATATTATTTTACCATTTTCCAAAACACAAAATTGTGATGGAAATTAAGAAAACTAAAAGAAAATATTATTCTAAAAAATAAATGGTTACTCCTAAAAAATATTTATTACTTAAAAATATCTTTTTGATTTATTATTTTTGTTAAATAATTTTTTTGTAAATATTAATTTGAGCGCAAGTTTTCCCCAAAAAGAAAACAATTACAAACATTATGCACATACATATACACTGAGGAAAAAATCAACCAAAAATTGGTTAATATTACCAAATTCAAACATGAAAAGGAATCAACGTGATTTTTGGTTAATATTAACAATGACTTGGTTTATGTTTTCAACAATGATTTTATAATATTAACCACACCTTTATATTAACCAAACTTTTGGTTGTCGATATTTTAGTTTGAATACGCAATTTTTCTACACTTCACAGATGCTTTTTCATAATTCGGAGATACAAAAGAAAAATTTGTTATTATCATTTTAACAAGTTACCTCTGACGATATTTGAAGCAGCATCTGAGCAAATAACAGTAAGCATAACTGCACACTCAGCTTTAAAAACCTGCCTTCAAATGTTCAACTTGTATCAATTTTCTTCGTCGTTTGATTTGGTTCTGCACTTCACAGAGGCTTCTTCGTAATTAAAAAAAAAAACCAAAAACGGAAAAAATATGTATCGCGCTGATGGCGTTCGTACTGCTGGAATCCAACAAATAACAGCAAGCACCTCTGCATGTTCAGCCGCTGCTATACATAAAAATCTCTTCTCAAATGCTCAACTTCAATCACATTACTTACAATCGACTTATTAACCATGAAAAATCAAACCATAACTTGGTTGAAAAAACCATTGTGTTTTTGGCTCAGTGTAGATTCATATTGCATAAAAATAAAAGAAATTTCAATTCTTGTTGTTTTCAAAACAAATTTATCTCAAGATAGTAATTTTTTTTCTAATAAATGGTGTTATAGATTTGATAAAAATTCATATTATTAGGGCTTCGGAGCAAAAGTTTTTGGTCATCGCTCCGAGCTCCGCTCTTGCACCACCCCCCGCTCCCAATAAAAAACTGTTTTATTTATTTATTTATGTACATATCGAGCCCTTACCGCCAAAAGCTCAGCCGAGATTTTTTTTTGGTGCAGAAATGCATCTAAAAAAAATTCCAAGTTAATTAAGTAGAATGGATTTTTTTTATTGAGCTTGAGGGCATTATTATTAAAAAATTTTTGGAAAAACAGCTGTAAAAATATTTCAAAACAAATCGTTGCTAGGCCAGAAAGTAACAAAAACAAAATATTGAAAGTTTTTTTAAGGAGCCAAAGAGCAAATTATTTTTTTAGCTCTTTTCTCCAGCTCTGCTCCAGCTAAAATCCTTTGCTTCTTAGCTCCCTGCTCCTTTGCGCCACTCCGCTCCGACGCGCCCCGCATATTATTTCTTAAAAAATATATTTCCTAAAATCCCCGATAAAACTTATATTTCGAAAAAATTGGGGGACATATATTTCAGAAATTTTTTGTAATTTTTTTTTAAGTATTTTTCCTAAAGTTTTAAGAAAAAATTATAAAAACAAACCCGCTAAAATGAATTCAATATCTTAAGGAATGCAGAACTTTTTTGGAAACACACATCCCTTGGTCGCGAAGGGGTTAATGATTGAGTAGATGATGTTGATTGCGTGTTGTGAAAACATATTGCATAAAATGATTCCGTAAACAAATGACCGAACAAACACATCTGCTTAATGGTTGTGCGGCGACGAGCTGAACATTTAGGCCAGTATTGAGAACAAAGGGGTGGATTATTGTCAGAAAAATTATATTTTCCTTGATGGTGTCATTACGGTTAAATAAAGCGATTTACTTAGTTATCGGCTTTATAGGCAATGTTGGTTAAAAGTTTATTCAATACTCGTACAACGCAACGTTGGCCGTTTACATTTAATTTATTTTCCTCCTCAGTATCGCAGGCTGTAAGTAATCAGAATACCACTTAAATAAAAAGCTCCGCTGTGGTTCTCATAAAAAAATTTAGAGCTATCGCATCGGTCAATACAATAGCACCCCCATTTCAAAGTGATATTGTCTAAAATGCATTTATTATATTAAAATACAGTTCATTCTCTAAAAAACCCATATAAACCTAAGTGAAACATTTTCTAGAAAACTCCAAGAGGAAACAAATTTTCAACCAAAATTTCAAACTTCTTTTTCCACAAAAGCTAGGGCCGACGGTGCTGCGGTTTTCTTTCATATACAAATAAATTGTGTTTTTTCGTTATATGGAAGCAACTGCGACAAGAAAAAGTTCTAAAAAATCAACGGTAATTTGTAACCACTTGAAACTTGCACATTATCAGACTGAAATGGAATGGGCTATGAAACTGTGTACTCAAAAAAATTCTAGCACTTCTGAGAAAAAAGGTTGAAATTTGGGCGAAAATTGCTGCATTTTTTTGTGGTCTTTTACAAAGTTTTAGACTTAAAAAAAAAAAATAATTAATCTTAATTTCCAATCAATATCACTTTATTACTTTGAAATAGGGGTGCTATTAATATGACCGATACTGTTTGTATTAGATCATTATCTCTTCTAAAGAAACAGTTGATACGACACAATGCAATATTCATCGCAATCTGGATGTTAATGTTGACTCAGTATTAAAATAATTTGTATCTATACCTCGGTGAACTGACTTTACATAAGACCCTCCCTAAAGAGAAATCCTGCTGCCGGCCCTATGCTGCACTATTTACAAAAAGACAGAAAATCCTATGTGTAGGTTTTTTAGATGATCTATGCGCAGCTGCTAAGTTTGGAATACAGCAGTTGCTAAGGTTCGTAGACTCCACGAATTGGTTCACAATGTATCATAACGTATCACAATGGCTACCTGACTGTCACTTCAACCCAATCTAACCTAACCTAGTTTATACATAAGTAGTTTTTATACCCGAGCGAACTTGTGCACAAGGGTATTATAACTTTGTTCACATAACGGTTGTTTGTAATAGCCAAAACGAATGATCGGAACTGTGCCAAGTTTGGGAGAAATTTGTGAACTATTAGTAAGATATACACATGCAATCATAAGAGGGCGTGGCTACGCCCATTTTCCAAAAAATTTTAATATTCTTATTTTATATTTATTCGTAAATATCAATTTTCAGTGAATAAGCTTCAGTATTTACTAAAATATCGCAGATATTCATCTCAAAGAGTTAAAGCCGTACATCCGACTACGCCTCGGGCATACAGTACTAACTCATGCACACTTGCTACAGCGATTAACACCCAACGTTCATCATCTTCAAGAAATTCATTCTTCCCACTCTCGGAGCCTATCGAATGTCTAAGAGAACCATCGAAAGTCAACATATCAACAATATATAACTTTCTCAGAGCCAATGACCTGCTAAGACGAATTTAAATAATATTTAGCTTTCTAATCCTAGTCCTAAGTTCTGATAAACCAATATTCATGACAAGAGACAACCGATGGCCTATGATGCTAGTGCTGCTAATTTTAGACTTTATATATTAACTTGTTACTATGTAAAAGAAAATAAATAAAAAATAAATAAAATAAATAAATATCTGAAGCGTATCATGCCGGCCGCTGTAGTCGAAGGGCTAGAAGTGCGTTCTACCACTCTGAATGGCATGGTTACGAGCCCTAGTCAAAGCCCCGAATAAGCTTCACATAAAATCTATTTGGAAGGCGGCATGAAACTGTAGATCCTGCCATTTGTGTAACAACATCAAGATGCACACCCCAAATTGGAGTAGAAGCTTAGCGAAACACTTAGCAAAAGTGTAAGCGCCAAAATATTATTATTATTATTATTACTAAATATCTGAAGAAGCATGCAAGAATATTTTCAAGCTCCTCAGAGAGCATTTTTCACGAAAGTGCTCAGGAGAAAAAAAGATTCAAATGTTTATAATGTTATATTAGCAGTCCTCGAAAAATACTAGCAAAACTTGTGAAATCGCCAAATGCAATACCACGTATCAGACAGTCCGGAAATATCGCAAAAGAGCGAAGAAATTACAATTAAATGTTGGTTCTATTTCAGAACCATCCAAACGTTTTGAAGAAAATAAATTCCTTCGCTCTTTTGTGATATTACGTGGTATTGCGTTTGGCGGATACGAGGTATTGCGCGCCAAGCAAAGATATAAATAAAAGTTAATACCTTGTCAAACTAAAAAAAAATATTTGGTTTTAGTGATTTCAGCAATCGTTTCTGAAAATATGTTCGCAATAAAGCTTTTCTAAACTTCTCTTATTAGACACCCATATTCAAGTCTCTTATATGACTTGATATTTAATTATATTCTGAATTTGTAACCAGGTGGCCAACCCCTTAAAAGCTATCATTTTAATTTCAGATTCTTAATCAGCACAACGAAAAACTTCTACATAATGAGATATTTTCAAGTTTTAAGTTTAACATATTTTTATCGCATTTTAGCGACTCTGCCACACTGTGCGCCAGCGGCAGCGTCCATTACGTTGTATATGTAATTGAATGTAATAAGCACCAATAATGTACTTATTCGCTAAGACGCCCCATCCAGGGACCTAATTTAACAGTTTTTTTAACGAGATCGAAAAAGCCAATACAAAATATTGTCGTAGAAGAAAG